TACAAGACCCGGGACTACAAGGATCGCTACCGCAGAAATGTCGCGGTAGCACTTCTCCAACTCTTGCAGCCGCACAGGACCACCTACATCACTTCTTGGCAGGTGTACTTCGTGGAGCTGGCGTTGGTCGGAGCTTCAATTCACTTGGCTCGCATCTTATGGAATATAACGCAGCAGCATGCGTTTGAGGAGAAGGGGTATCGATCAATCACCTCTTCCCCTTCTTGATCAATTTTTACCGGTCGATGGATTGTCTAACCGCGACCGAGCGAGTTCAGTTTCCATTGCTGTCACGCAGCAATCCCGGGCGGTATGTGAAGGACGTCGAGGTCGACACCGACGAGGAAGAGACTCCTGCCTCCACGCCACCAGCCCAACCGCGAGTGCCGCGGAAGCGGAGATGGAAGGGAGACACAGAGAAGAGCCAACATCGCGATTCGGCTGCTCTCAAACGAAAGCGGCCACTGCACGAGGTCTGCATTCGGCCGAAGCAGAAAGCGCGTAAGCTTGTGTTGCCTGCAAGTAGCGTGGAGACAGGGCGTGCCGCTGGAGAGAAGGAGTCACCATCCTCGGAGGAGCATGGGAACACACGGACTGCAGAGGGGTCAGCAGACCTCTCTACGCCGAAGGCACGGACGCCTTCGGCAGAAGCAAGACGGCCTTCAGGCCAAGAGAGACGACACGCGGCACCGACGAACGTGCCGACAACGGATAGGTGTTCCGCGCGAGCACCGTTCGCGGACTCGTCTTCGGGGCTGGGGCCTTCGGCTCAAGCGCCTTCGACGCAGTCGCCTTCGGCGCATCGGAGGAAGGGAAAGGAGCCGGCGGAAAATGCGCCTTTGGGTCAAGGGACTTCGGCGCAAGGAATTGCGAGTAAGGAGCCTTCGGGGCAAGCGCCTTCGGCAAAAGAACCGCCGGAAGGTGCGCCTTGTGCTCAAGGGCCTCCGGCCCAAGGGACTTCGGGCGAGCCGCCTTCAGCGGAAGCGCCACCGACAGATGCTCTTTCGGCGGAAGCGCCTTCGGCGAAGGACCTATCGAAGAAGCAGGATCTATCGAAGAAGCATGACGACAAGCAGAAGGGGAAGGCACGTGGGCATTCCGCACAATTGTCTTCCGCACAAACGCCTTCCGCACAAACACCTTCGGCGGTGGACGCCTTCGGCGATGCGGAGTTGGTAGTAACAGATCGGGCGAGCGGTGCGAACTTGTCAAAACTAGGATCTCCCACCGCCTTAGACATTTTGGCCGGCAGCAGCAGCAGCAGCAGCACCAGACGCTACGCAGCCCAACTCGCGAGAATCGCCAGGGAATTCAGTGGCGACCGAAATCCTCAATTCGGAGTATGACGAAGAAGGAGAATTGGGATCGGACGAGGAGGAGGAGCAATCGGTGGCAGGCACGCCTACGGCGGCACTATGCGAGCAGGTGGTACCTCTGCTGAGGTATCTCGATCGCAAGGTGACGAAGTATGCAGACTCCCACCAACCTGGGTCCTACGTCGAGTTACTGCGCAGGCGGACTCGCACTAAAGTCCGCACCAGCAAGTTGTTGGCACGCCTAGATGGGGACGTTAAAGATCTGCGGCAGAAGAATGAGCACCTACGGGGCCACATTGCTCTTTCGCGGAAGGTGCAGAAGACCGTCGACCAGGTGCGCGATGAGAAGTTTGAGGAGGCGAAGAAGGAGTTCGCCAAGGAGAAAGCGAAGCTCGCGGATGAGCTGGATTCTGAGCAGACTAAGAATCGAATTTTGTCAGATGAGCTCGTGCGGCAGACACGGTTGTTGGAGCAGTGTCAGCTCGCACGCTAGGCGGATGAAGAGTTAATCCGCAAACTGCAATCGGAGTGCGGGGAATTGAGAGCGCAGCGTGCGGACGCAGAGTTGCAGTTGGTAGTGGTTGAAGACGATCGCCGGCGGGAGGTAGATCGCACGAAGGAAAAGTTGGTGAAGCGAGTCAACCACTGTCTCAGAGGTTACACCCTCTGGAAAGTGGCTGCGCATGAGAAACTCACATTGCGCGAGTTAGAGCTTCGTGCGGCGGGTTTGATGTCGGGTGACAGTCGGAGCCGGCGGCGAGTGGCTAAGAAGTTGGATGCGTATTTGTCAAGGTCGCGGGACGCCATGGCAACCCTCAAGACGGAGGTGACTGCGGTGTTGCGGCGGCTAGGTTTGCGCAGTCGAGCTGAAGACTGGTCGGCTAGGGAGTTAATGCGCAGCAGTCCGTCGCGCAGAAGGCGCAGTACAGGATCTGCAGAGTGCAGCAGTGTAGTGTGGTTTAGTGTAGGTGTGTAGTGTTAGTTAGGACTTAGAAGGTATAAAGTAGTTCAAGGCGTCTTGCCTTGGGATTCTTCCAGTTTCGGAAGTGCAGATCAGGAACTCATTTTCTCTGCGTGTTTGTGTCCTTAGTTCTGTCACCGCGCAAGAGGAGCTACAGCTTGACGAAGATACCGCATTTTGTAGCTGAAGGCCTTCGGCCGAATGTTCAGAGCCAGTGTACTAGTTAGATACTTGAGCAGTTTGGATCTACACCCGCGGGTGATTGCTGAATGCTCAGAGCTAGTAACTGGTTAGATACTTGAACAGTTCGTCCCTACATCTTCGGGTGATTGTTCCTGATTGTACTCCTTTGGGATGTTTCCCCTGAATGCCAAAGTGAAGTTTTGTTACTTCGAGTAAGCCTTCGTTGAAATTCAGGTTACGCTGCAGAAGGTGCCCTCGGGGCAAACCTCTGTAGTATTTCTGGGAATGTCTAGTGCCTGAGAATTCAAACTCGTCAATAGACTATTATGGTGTGCTACTGGATCTTTTCTCAGTTGAGTCTCTCAGTTCGGACCTGTGTTCTCTACGCGTTTTGTGAGTTGAATATGTTGTTCACCGCGTGTGAGTGACTTCGGTTTGACGAAGATACCGCATCCGAAGTAGGAAGTCCAACTCGGGTGCCCTGCGCTAGCAGAAACTAGTGGAAGGGTGGTAAAAGCCGAGTTGGGAGTCACTACCTGCAGAGTCTCTGAATGTACTCGTGAGAAACTTTCCCCCTGAAATCTTAAGTAGAGGTCCTAACCGACCTCTAAGTTGTGTTTCTATAGATTCAGGTGTGTGTTGAGTGAACTACGCTGCACTGTGCGTCCTCCGATTGACCTCCAAGTTGAGCACTTGCAGTATTTCTGGGAGTGACAGTCGCCTGAGAATTCAAACTCTTCAATAGTCTGTCAAACGTGACACTTTGTACTCTGTGTGTTGCCTCTGTCCTTGTGGGTTTGACCTCTTTGCTGCTATACTACAGTTTTAGCCTTTAGTGGGTTATTACAAGAATGCTCGCACATGTAGATGTGCGAGCATTGAAAAAATATTGCATAGAGATTACGTGAAGATTATTTGTGCAGCTCATAAGATGGCCAGAGCATCAAGATGACCTATTAAACCGCTATAAGAATTGCAACAATCAATCATTGGGCTCGAACAACAAGGATTTCTCGTGGCGAATATGATGACAGAAACCAGTATGATGGCACTAACACAAACTGAGTTGGTCAATATCATGCCAACCTGGATGTGAAGATTCAAAGATTGATCTGAGAGAAGGTTTATCTATGGCGGAAATTGATGGCTTCTCAAAATCGACTTCTAAAACTAGTCTATCAAACCATCGCACCGATTGTCTTATAACTTGACAGCCAATTTTAGCCAGGCCAAGCTCATTGATTTGAATATAAAAATTGATGAGATCTTCGGTTGAAACTAGTAATATATACCAGGAATTCTTGTCTCAGCTTGTAGATGCGGCAAGAATGCATAGAATGAATTTTTCAGTTACAAGGGCAATTGTTTGGAGGATTGCAAGAAGTAAAAAAAAACAGTAGACACTTTGGCTTCATGTGTAAACTTTGCGTCGATTCGTATTTTAGGAGATTGCTTGCGTTGTTGTAAGATATCCGTACAAGAGTTAGATTTTTCAGTTTAATTATATCAATGAAAGTAGAATTCGTTGTACAAACTTTTGATTAGATGGAACTAGATCAAAAAACTAACATATGATGAAGCTGATTGTACATGATGTAATACTTCTGTTTAAAAAACCGTTTCATCTAGATAACTAAAGAAGTACTAGGTTGTATGTTTAAAATGATATTCTCATACTACCCTTGTTTACAGATTATCTGAATTGAATACTATAGTATTTTGAGTTTCAATTCTTTCTCCTTGGGATTGGGATTTAAATCCTGAATCATATCATTGATGACAAGTCCCTTTCATTATTTGAGATGGGATACTTTTTCATTATCCACTTAATCCCGCTCAGCGATCTTTAAGGTTCCACAAGTATCTGCTCTTCAGAGTAAGTCTGAGATAATAGGTTTGGAGTTGGTATTATCCGGTTGGTATCTGCTCAAGAACTGCCTTGTCATCGATTTGTTCAATTTTCCATGCGGGAGACTTGACCGGTACATATGTCGCTACTGGCCATGACCGCTTTACATTTTGCATGTGAGTTTCGTTCTTTCGTTCTCCAGATTTTCCTAAAACGCCCGAGAAAAACAGAAAAAGTAAGACATCCGTAGCTATCCAATCAGACTTTGCGCTTTGGACTATCAATCAGCACCGAAAGGAAGGTTCTGAAGAAGATCGTGTCCTGTAGGCGCATAGATGAATTGCTTCCCGACAGCCATGTGCAGAACTTTCCGCCCAGTTCTTTTTACGCCAGACTCGACCAGATTGCCTGCGGCTGACTTAACAGAGCTCATTACTTCGTTAATTCGTTGGTTCCCATCAATGGGTCCCGTTGAAAAGGCAGCCACACCGTAGTAACGCCATCTCTAGCGGTTACGGGAGCGATAGGCTGAAGTTGAGCTCATGATGCTCATCAGCACAGGAAAGAGAGTAAATCCATTCCGCGTGATCAACAGGAGACCTTAGATCCTGCAACCATCTCCACACAGAATACTCATGATAATACCAGAGCCAAATTCATGAAATTCAAGCGAACTACATTAGGATGCTGTACATTTGAGTGAAAAGTGGTGAGAAGCCTTTGCGAGTTCATACTGAAAATTATGCCGTCAAGCATACAAGGCTAATAGTAACAAGAGTAACAAGAGTTTTTCACTCACTACAACATCCTTCGTTAACACCCTTTTGATACATGAATGTACTAACGGCCATCAGGTTTTCGGTAACATTTTGACGGTATTAGGAAATTTGGGTACGAAATCCAAGCTAGGAGCAACAAATGCTTTATTTCCCAACGCAACGACGGGAACCCACTTGGATCCAACCTCTGCTTTGATCCAGTAAAGAATATCAACTCTACTTCGTACTCTCCCAACCTCCTGCTGCACCCCTCTCTGTTCTAATAAATTTACAGCAGAATTGACGTTCCTCTAGCCCGTTTGCTAAATGAAGATATCAAAAGAGTGGGGATCTAGCCTTGAGGAAAAAAAATTAACAAAAAAACTTGAAAAGAAAAAAAAGGTGAAGAAAAACAATCCCACCGCGTCTAACTACTTTATCAACATGGATGTATTGGACATACATCACGTAACCGCATGATTAAGAGTCAAACTCTCAATCATGTGGCTAAGCAAACCCAAAACCTTCTGCGATATGAACCTCGGTTATTGCATGGAGCCGGGTGTGCATAATTTCAAAAGTAGGATATGCAGGCAAAACCAATTGATAGAAGCAAGTATGGGCAGTTGGCAACCAGCTTGTGTCCGTATGAGCTCTGTGTATGTGAAACTTCGATGAGAGCCCAGCAAAGCCTTCCGCAGGTAGATGAGTAACTGATGTAGAAAAAAACAGCAATCTCCTACGCTGTTCTGGCGTCATATCCTCCGCCACCTAAAGCATAACGACACGATCATCATTCCGTAAGACGAGTCAAATGCCCACAACCAGACGACTGTTGGAACTTCAACACTGACGCAAAATTCTTCAAGATACGTCATCTCGCGATGAGGCCAGGATAAATCAGGAAACCCTCTTCTCGTTTGGAAACTAGTACTGGACATACGGTAGGGAGGATTCTAAACTGAAGTTTACTCGCGGAGAATTAGCAAATGCCACAAGCAGATGAAAAAATGTAGAAACATTTAGGTGAAACAGGAGAGTTCAGCGTATATGTAATCAACCAGAAGGGCTTAACAAGTGAGGAAAAGGACATACTTTAAATTTGGTTTAATCGTATCGTGAACAACGTGTGAAGGACAGAGTATTACACAAACACACAAGCATGTAATTTGGAGTGCACATGTAAATGGGAGAGCGCGAAGATCACAGCAGTGAAGGCACTACAGTCAAGTTGTACAGATGTAAATAGCAGTAAATTAGAAAGCAACAAAAAAAGACCTGATGATCTGGACTGTTGTAGGACCCTTTACGTACTGACTGTAGATACTTACAAACGTCTAGTTTTCCGACTATTGTCTTCCCTCAGAACAGAGCATACGTCTGTCACAAAAGTTTCTTGCAAAGCAATTTCTATTTACAATATAATTTATTTCATTTTGCTTTCAATTCTTCACTAGGTTCATATTGTACGCTCATTTGTCAGCGTTCAACAGAAAAGTGTGCGTGGTTTTAAAAGTGGGAAAAAACATAGTGAACTACTCATAAGTGAAGCCGAAGCAGCATACGTTTATCAAGCGTAAGCCAGTTCTCATATTCCATTACCTATGCCCCACTCCCGTTCAGAAATAAACTGTCCCCCAAGCTTTTATATGACGGATTCCTCTAGCAGATTCAGCTGATACTAACTCTCGCTCACACAGACCACTCTTCCTTGCGAATTGTGTCTGATCTCTCTAGCAGAATCCGCTACTATTCATTCAATCTTCAAGTAGATTGAATGAAAAATAGCTGATTTTGCTAGAGAGATCTGTCCCAAAATACGATGGAAATAATCTACATTAGATGCGACTAATCATTGCTTCAACTAACAACGGTTTATCAGAGACTTGCAAATAAGCGCAAGCTCTATAATTGTCAACATTATTAAGTATTAACAACGGCTTTCAATAGTTTGATCATTCTCAGACGTTCGAAACAATATTGTTTTGAACATCTCACATATTTTACTCCCATAACAGGAGGAAGGTGACACAAAATGGGAGAACCGGGTGACCCACGCGATGAAAAGAACGATGGCAATACCAACCAGATAGGTACACAACAATAGCCACCGAATGTCCTCCCAACAAAAAAGCGCTAATCCTTATCGTGATAAATAACTGCAAATTCTAGTGTTCCTCTAATATCTAATTATGCAAGACATAAGTAGATGCAATGAAAAGTCTTTCTTTCTGTGGCTGAACCAAGAGCACCCTCCAATGCATTACTAATACGCAGTCTAAGGAGATGAATAAATATGTGCGAAAATGTGTGCTCGAACAACAATGTGTACTAACAAATGTTCCTATACATAGCTCAATTTATTCCACGATGCAGTGCATTCTCATACGTTGTCAAAATTAATATACGCAGACATATAAAAAAAACATACAGTGTGTCTCCGACCATGACTCCTACTGATAATTTCAAGCGTGCCGTAGAATGAAAAGTAAATGTAAATGATAAAAACATATAATTGTAGATATTATATTACTTCTTATGATATGTCCTTATTTTTATGTTCTTTTCATGTTGTTTTATCTTTACTGCTCGTTGAATCATCCATCATAATATTGCCTTCCAGAAGCCGCCAGAACTAATTTAGCAATAATATAAGTTCCATCACGAGGAAATCGAAACTTGAGAACATAATCACCAAGGGAAAGTTTTGAGGGTAAACCTGCCAAAACCACTTAATTTGATCGTCCGAAACAGTGTAGTCATGGTATTCCGTATGCTTTCTCCAGTCCTCGAGACAAATATTGCGGTCTTTCCCGTAGAGCATCAGATCTAGATCTTCAGGCTCCAAAGCACGGAGAAATTGTTGATGGGAGGAATTCACGAGTAGATCAGAGAAACCTTGAGAAAAGGACTTAATCTGCTCCGCAACAGATGTTACCAACCTCCGCCGCACCAGAAGCTCCACAAACTCTTTACGATTGTCGCTGTTCACAACCATCTCTCTCCCACCCTGGCAAAGCTCAAGAGTCTTGCGAGACCCCAGCTCTTCGATTTCACTTACAAAGGTAAGACCCAAAGCATCAGAATCGACTGTCTCTGCATCCATCTCTAAAATCTTCTTGCAGCTTTCATATAAACATGGATCAGCATCCTTTGCATCCTCCCACGATATAGGGAGCCCCGCAAGCTGCTTGAAGAAGGTAAGTGCGAATACCACATCCACTTGCACCCTGTGCATGAGGGCGAGAGCTAAAACTCGACCACAGAAGCGGAAATACGTGAGATGTCCGGGATTTACCCCTGATGCTGCAACAGTAATTCACGGATGATGATCTGGTTAGAAAGACATTAAACGTCTTAACACGGTGGAAAACTTTCGGATCAAAGATGTTACGCACCAATAACTCTAAAGATGAACCAAGAGAAATGTATATTGACTCTACGTGCAAGATACATCTAGAGTAAAATGAAGGTAATTAACTACCTGGATTGGGGAAATATCTCCTCCGATCATTTGGGCAAGGCAAAAAAAGAGCATTTTGCGGATTAAATATTTCCCTGCATATCATTGAGAACCACTCCCGTAAAACACCTGGACCTGTAGCTTCCTCCGTCGCAAACTCTACTGAAATCCCTCCTTGCAAAACATCCGGCTCCGCATAAGCCAAAGCCTCAAAGGACTCAGTCAAAAGTTGTGACCTATGAACTACCATCTCTTGACGTTCGTCATGATCATCTTGTGGCTCTGGTAGCATTGCCATTACCAATCTCCTCTTGGAATCAAAATCCAATAAATACTTGTGTTCAAGAAGCCAAAAATCGTCGTCGTTCCATTTCGACTGCCTAATGAGAACGTTCAATGCGGTATGCTTGTCAATCAGCACACTCAGCAGATCTTCCATGGCACCCTCGTAGAGCTTGGCTACCGCATGCAAACCCTTGAGTACGACCAAAAACGGTGCGAACCCTAGTGATCTCTCCCGATCATCTGGGCCTACTAGTCCTAGAGCCTGGGTGTCCTGTGTCTTATCACCGCCATGACCAACTGACTGCACAGCTTCTAAACAATCGTTGATCTCCCGTAGGAGATCTAAAAACAGTGTACGCAGCCACCCGTGTGATCCAATTTCCATACCAACTCCAACAGACAAGCTAAGATTAGTGTTCACAACCGTCCTCTCTTCTGAAGCTGAGGCATCTGGGTTACTAGAAGTATCTGAAGAAAACAATGAAGGTCTCCGCACACGAGCAATTTCTACATGTCTCAAACAATTCTTTGATCCGGAAGCATCAATTCCTTTACAAACCTCCATCGCCTTGCAGAGAGGAATCACGAAGGCAGTAAAGTCCTTTGCCTCTTTTCCATAGGACTGATAATTTATAACTGCCTCCTTGCCTGCGTAAGATTTTGCAATAAACCGCAAACTTTGAGATATGCGCACGGATAATTCATTCACAAAAGGAGAAAAATCATGAACTATCGTTTCGGCCTTGGCTTCATGAAAGTACGGAGTGTTATGCGCTATTCCAACACTGTCGAGAAGCCGGGCAAGAGAGTTCCGACAGGAGGCATAAAGGTTATGATGGGGGGCACTCTTTGCTAAAAGCTTGCACAGGTCAAGTAGCACTGGGGCACAGTGGCAGTGAATATGGGATGGTAGATATTCATCGTTTGCCTGCAGGAAAAGTGTGATGGATTCCTCGGCACATTCACGATTAGTTACGATTGGCGACAACAACAGCATGACTAGTGCAGATGTTGCTCCAGCGAGCTGGAAGACCTGCATATGCTCCGATACCGGAACAGACTTGGAGGCCATCTTCAAAAACTCCTGAACTCCTGCCCGCACACAGTCCTGTGAATGCATCAACTTCGAACCCAGCGGAGCATAATGTTCTCCAACAGCGCACATGCGCCTTATCGTAGCTACTAGGTCGTTAATGAGCTGCCATGAGTGAGGGAGTGCTGTGCTACGCATCCTTGCGACCAGAAACATCGTAGCATCGTTGGCCAGATGGCAGTCTTCCAGGGTCTGATCTTGTTGCAGTTGTCGTCCGCGAAAGATTAATCTCTGTTCCGAAACGGGGAGTCCAGTTTTCGAATGAATTTGCTGATGCACGGATTCAACGGTATCCGAACCTTTCGCATGAAGAACGATGGTACGACCCTCAATGTAGGTCCTCACAAAAAACTGCAGACGACATGCGCTACTATCCATGTCCACAACTCTCGCTCCCGACGTACTGCAAGAACTCTCTGCATCATTTCCGCTTCCACTTCCACTACAACCAACAGCAAGAAGACTCGAAACACAGGCACTGAGACTCCCGCTGACCTGAGGAACTCCACCTGCGCTGCTGTTAATACTGGACTCATTGAGGTTAGCCCCTGATGCTGTGCTAAGACTATGTGTATATCTTCTCGTACTCGATTCCTCTTCGTGACCAAAGAGCATTGAATCTCTTTCTTTCTCTCTTGATCGTAGACCATCAAACTCCGATTCTCTTGGGGCCTCGCTATCCTTTCCAGATGCTACTTCCTCTACAAGTCCTCGACCAATTATCCCGGCATCGGGCCCAAGAGACTCACCGGAAATTACGGCAGCAACGCCTAACGATGGTCCCGTATACACTCCTGTATCTACCTGAGAAGGTACAAGGATTGAAGTGAGGCTGCTGCCAGCTTCATTGGTCGCCTGCACACCGACGGTCTCCTCGAGAACATCATCGGCATCTCCCTTCTCGGGAGCAACTACCTTCGTAATTTCACAATTGGCGATAACTAGGACTGTCCGATTCCATCCTGGCTCTTCTTCCCACATTGCATCGGCATCTATGGCTTCATTGCCACCTTCCTCTCTCATTAGACTCTCTCCGTCGAGGGCTTGAGCTTCTCCGGAAGAACAGAGTCCACTCTCATAACGCTCCCTCCCGCTTGACTCCGCTACACTGCCTTCCAAATCCTCATCTCGGGCCTCCCGTCGAGCTCGGACTTGCGAATTAGCAGAGCCAGACAGGTCCGCGATGCCAATCTCAAGCTCTTCCAGCTTTCTCTTACTAGATGCAGTCCTCGACACTATCGGCTGGGTAGAAGCCATACGCGCTGCCATCATGAACCCAACCGCCTCTCTCAGTTCCCCTATCTCCCTCTCCCGCTCGGCTACCGCTACGCCTACTCCCACACCGGGGACTAAGATCAGAGGAGACTGCACACCCGCTCTCTCATCATCGATCATGGTGCGCGTCTCCATGGCAGATGAAGAAGAGGTCCGCCTACTACGAGAAGCCAGGGCTGCTAATCGGATGCTTCTGAAGAGTCCCCGTATGGACAGAGCAAGACTCGATAGAACCATCTAACTCTCTACTACCCTCCTCCGGGATTACCATGCTTCCGCCCATTCCTGCGCAACGACCACCTCCCGCGATACCCCTTCTTCTTCATCAATCGAGGTCCGAATTGCGCCTTGCCAAGCCCCTACCGCCATCGCGACTCATTGGTCTCAGCTCTCACTTCAAAGAAAACGACCCACCACGAGTGCCATCCCGCATAATCCCACCTCTCGCAACTCCGATGATGATGCTGGAGAAGAAAAAGCACGTGAAAAGACTCGACCGCTCAAACCAACTTCCGATTTCTTCAGCGAAGGACAACAGACCCGCGGCGGGTGGAGACAATAACGCTAGCATGGACCGATGATCCCAGCGACGCGGCCAAAGATTGAACGACTAACCTTAAGGGTTCCTTCCACCAACGACTTAAAACATACCCAACGAGACCGACCTCCCCCACCCCCTCCTCCTCCTCCTCCTCATCCAGCGCAGCAGCAGCACACCATCATCAGCGCAGAGGCAGAGGCACACAAACTCAGAGAGAGAGAGAGAGAAAGAGAGAGATAGATACTTTCGGCACGCCCTCACGAGTGGACGCAGAGGAATGCGGAAGGGAGACTAAATGAGAACCTTTCCTTGGACTGCAGATAATCACAGGAGAGAGCTCGATGGCACCAGAAACCTTCCAATTTCATCAAGCGAGCGAGCGAGCGAGCAAGAGCAAGCTACTGCAGCATCTCAAGATACAAGACAGACGCCAAACGTAGACAAACCACACCGGACAATGGGCTACGGACAAGACAGGCGCTCGATGCACAATTTTCACTCGTCCCCCGGGCAGCTCGGTAAAACTCCATAAATTATTATATTCCCCACATCCCCTCCCCCTCCCGATCGTGACAAGGACGCAGCAGACCCCACTCTCCCCTCCCCTCCCACCTTTCGCTCGCTCTCCCTCCCTCCCTCTCGAAGAAACACAACAGTAATCTCTCTCTCTCTCTCTCTCTCTCGTCATCGGCAGCAGGTTCCAGGCCTTGCATGCATCGAATTGAAGCCCGGGCCGAGCCCAACCCAACAGAACAGAATTACGGACGCCAGGCATTCGAATTAACGCAGGGCCGGCAGAGCGTCGGACCGAATCGGCCTGCGCGGCCGACGCTGGCCGCGCTGGCTGGCCCGGGCTCAGGCTCTTCCTTCGTCTCGGTCGCTCGTCGGGTCACTCGTCCCGCGCGACGCTGCCACTTTCCTCGTGCTGCTGCTCAGGCATCGGCTCGGCTCGGTCGACCCGGACCGGCAATCTTCTTGACGAGAACCGGCAGCAATCCGAGCCAGAGCTTGTCGAGACTGGCGGCAGCAGGTCCCAATCCGAGTTTGCGGCTCACCGGCGCATTTTTCCATCGGGGGGCGTCATTGCCGGGCCGGAGTCAGTACCCAGCCTCGGTAGCTGCCAGTGAAAAGTGGCGCATGCACGCACCGTCAACGATGCGAGAACCGATGCGGCGGCTACTGCTGGCCGGTTAAATAAAGTGCCTACCTTTCCGCCTCACCTGAGCAGCTCTCATCCGCGAGGCTCGAAAAGTGCTTGCCCGAACCGAATCCGGAGGACTGCACTCTAACCAACACGAACGACGCCGCAAGCTGCAGCCCCCAACCTCAGCCTCGGCATCGCAGGCGTGTGCCCTCCGGCCTTGCTCTCAGGCCCACCCACACGTCCGCCTCTGATTGATCGGATCCGCGACCCTGCAGTGCGGTTGCAACCATGTAAGTCGATCGGTCCGGTGCACTCGAATGCCGCGGACTGCGTACTTCTGCATGGAGGGAGCGAGGCAAGGAAAGAAGGAAGCAAGGAAGACCGACCTGACTGACTGACTGACTGACTGGAAACTTGTTGGTTTGTTGGTTTACTACCTCGAGTATGGACGTCCGGTGGGCCAGCCCGTCGCCCGCCGGAAGAAAGCGAGAAAGCTCTGGACGCGGTCTGTGCTGAGCTAGCTCCCTGGCTCTCGCAAAGGTGCCTCTAATGTCAAAGGGTCGAGGCCTCGCGCTCGCCCGCCCGCCCGCCCGCCCTGCCCGGGCGGAAAGCGGAAGGAACCCGGTCGCCTTTTCCGTGTCGTAATTTCTCCAAACGTATTCCGGGCTCGACTGGATCGGTACGTAAATAAATACCGGCCCATTTTTTCCCCGACTCACCCACTGACTGTATTGGACCTTTCTGCGGGTTTCACCCGATTCTCGCTTTTTCCCGTACCGTAATATCTGAGGTTAATTGCCTTGCTTCGTGTCCCCCGTCGGCCTTATTCTTTCCCCGCACCGTATGCGTATGCAGCCCCGCCACTCGTACGCCGATCGGACGGCATTTACGGCTCACAACTTTCCAGTGACACGGCGGCAACGCCCGCGTCGTCGGAATCTCAAACCGGGCAGTCGGTGAGGTGAGTCAGGCTCGACTCCGCCGGGCTTTCGGCTCTTGCGTCCACATCATCTCGGCTCCATTTACAGCACGACAACAGCGGCGCCCGCTGTACATGCACGCACTCCCCTTGCGGCCGATGGATGGCAGCACCGCTAAATCTATCGAAGGTTGTGGCGGAGAAGCACGTCTCCGACCGCCCTGCCTCCCTCGAAAGCTCCTTCGCTCAGCCCTTCGCTGGGCTGGGGCCAAAGGCTTCCACCACGACGCTTGCAGCTTCTTCATTTTATTCGACATGGCCCGCCATATCCACAGATCTCTCGACCGGATTCTTTGCTCGGCACTCCGGTATAGGAATTTCCCGTCAGGAAAAAGGGGATGGGGAAGAAATGCTCTCAATAACATCTGTCTTCCTCGACCGTCTAACTTCTCCACGTCTGTTATGAAGTTTTCGCCTGTCTCTTGGCAGCGGTGAGCTCTCTGCGAGGTGAATGCTCGAAAGCTCGAATGTGCCCGTCAACTGGCCCGCTGCGATCGATCGGATCTTAAATGCGGTCGTCCTTGAGATGGAAAGCAGAGCGCACAGTGGAGAATCTATGGAGAGCCATGCATGGGCTGGCCAATGTCGAGCAGACATGGCTCCTGAAAGCAGCATTGTTAACGACGCAGCCAGCACAGGCCGACTCTTGCGCCTTGTCACTGAAGTCCCTCTTGCCATCCTCGGGCAGGGCGGCCTTGTGCGTCTCGCTATTCTCCGAACTGGCCCCGTTCGAAGTCGGCCTTATCCCGACCACTCTCGCTCTCCTTCCGTGATCGTTCTGCACGCCGGGAGGAGTCCGTCGAGGACAGCGAGCCGGTCAGCACATTCCCAGACAAAGCGGCAAATAAAATATGGTTAGAAAAGCGGACGAGCACATACTACGTTACGCAAGTCAAGGTACTCTAAAACCCTAAATCTGCCCGCATCCTTGACGGTGCTCGTCAGTGATACGAGAAGGACAAAGTATGTAGACAGAGGCAGCCGATCCTACTCACTCGCACAACGCGACCAGTCACAAGAGCGAGCGCGAGGCATGAGAGAAATAGTTTACACGAAAAAGTGGGGTGATGAATGCGGCAGTAAATGCGAAAGTAGGAAAGGCCAAAACCGACGTAGAAATGAAAGTTAACATGGGAGGCATTAGAATAAAGAATGGGGATAATAGTCATCTGAGCCCCAGCTTTTTGGTAATGGTCGTCCTTGCTCCTTCGGCAGACGGGAGAAGGAAGCGAGCCGCGCTCAAAAGTAATGTTGATTATATTAAGGCAAAAGTGGGTGAGATACTTCTCTCCAATTGGCCACCTTTACATTTGCGCCCACTTTTAACCGTGGCCCTTTTTGTAACATGTTATCGACTTTGCTACATTCAAAGCAAGCTTTTCGGGTTAGGGATAAGCGCCATTGCTCAAGCCCATTTGTCAACTTGTGCTGCCAGTGGACCCGAAGTAAGCCCATGCCATGTGAGTCACTCGGCCTCGTTTGTCAAAATGACCACCACTTGGCTCTGCTTCGCTTGGCTTCGACCCAGCGCGCGCTCCTCGACACTGTTGTTCTATGTTGTGTGCGCACCGCCTACCTACCGAGGCCGCCGTCGTACGTCGTCAAACCTTGTCCCCGTTCGCTCCTCCCCTCACCTCGCTGAGCCTGGCTCCCCTCTCATCGATCCTTCTCCATGAGTCCGTGACTCATCCTTTTGTTGCTTCTTCGCGCTTCGCCCACGAAGAATCGCTCCACGCCCGACCGCCCGGTCCGTTCGCTGCCGTCCCCATTCCATCCCGTCCCTCGGGGCCCTGGGATGCCGCTGCTTCGTGAACCAACTGACTGTCTGCTGCGTTGCTGCTCTCGGAACAAAAGTGCCTGCTCTGAAGCACCCATCGATCCAGACACGGACGATGGTAACCACTGTACTGCTTTTGAAGAGCAATTCCAGCTTTTCGTGGATCATCTCATGGAAGCATCGTAGGACAGGTTGAGAATCCGACCCGGAAAGTTCGAGCTCAGTAGCTGGTTGTTGTGCATTTCCTATTATCGCTGGACTTTACAGAGCGACCAAAGGCGAGAAGCCAATTGACGGTATCACAATCATAGTCGGAATATGCCACGGTCGTTTGAAAAAGATCAGATCAATGTTGCCATCGGGGAAACTTTGAATATCGATGGCCAAAAAGCGTTTGCCCCTCGACTAGATATTGCTAGCATGCTCTATTCTTCTTCTTCTTTTCGTTCCTCTTCGTATGCTAAACCAAAATCTTCGTACCTAGCCTTCAAGTAGGCCGAGGCCGCGACAGAGGTCCACGTAAATTTGATTTCATAAAGGTGGGCATGTGAAGGCCAACGGAGAAAAAGTTGTGTTCAAGAATCTTTTCAACCGGTTCTCATCCAAACTTGATCCTTCTTCGTAGTTTGCCCCCTACTGATTGTCTCAGGCATTGCCTTGTGTTTCCGAATGCATCGTCTTGCTCAGCTGAGTAAGAACCTGCATGCGATTGGAATTTCTTTGCACTTATTTTTTTCGCATACTTCATAACTCGAGCCATATCAAGGAGATAGAGTCGATTATGAGAGTACGCTACATACCTCTGGCTGATGGCTTCAGACTCAGTCTCCGGTGTTTAATATTTGCTGAATGTCCATGTTCTGAATATTCTTTAAGTATTAAAAAATATATAATTCTGAAAATATCAGAATAGAAATGAAGTCCTAAAATATATTTTGAATTCTAATCATTAACAATGAGCAGATTACAAAAATCCTGTCCGGTACGATGATCCCTTGTGGAATGTAACTGTTTTTCGCTCATCTTATCGTAAAATGATGATAACATCATCATACTTTTGACTGAATTATTTTACAAGCATGTATAGTTTTGATTAAATTTCGGATTTTTCACATACCGAATAAATGTATGATATAACAGTCCAAGTATGAAGAAATCCAAGTTATTGGATATTTTTAAGAAGTTACCTTCCTTCATCCACTAGAGTGATCCACATACTTCTATACATATATATTGAAGAGTTTCAAGAATTATAGACATCAAATACGAGAATGACAATATTCATTGCTAAAAGGAATCATGTAGAAGATTATTTTCAAGAGCTTGTGTCGTATCATACTGTCTAATCTAGAATGAAATATAAGCTATACATATGATTAATCACACAGATATATTGATCAGTACTGTCATATGTATTGATCAAATTAGATCATCCATTCGCAGAAATTTGATTATGTTTTGGTTAAAAAAAAATTATCTTTCAATCACTTTACTATTGAAAGAAAAACTAACCTGAACGTAACTGAAATAGCTGTCTTTGACAAACAATTGACAATTTGGTGCAAAGAACATCACGTAATGTATCATTCTTGATCGGTAACTTTGTAATTTTTCTTTACCAAACATATCATTTATCATTCAATGTATATTTCACAAAGTATTATCAACATTGAATCCTTTCTGTGTCATTTATGTTCATCTGATATATAATTTTCAAAAAATAATTTCTAATGTTAGAAGTTAATATTTGTCTTGATTAATTTTTATTTTGATGATATTAAATTTTGAAATAACAATAACGTTGTTTTTCGTGAACTTATTTTGACTAACTTGAATCACATATGCGTATATCGACTATCATTGTCATCTCGTGCGGAGTCTGTTGACGAGGATTCCTGAATGAACCTTTACACATGCTAAATTAATTGGTGTTACGGCCAAGATTCGCTAACTGCATAAATGTTTACGTGATTTGACCATTGATCAATCCCTAGAGAGTGAGAAAATGACCAAGCGAGAGAACTTTTACGTTATAACGAGAGCAACAATGGAGTAGCCAACAATCATGACCACGGAGCACGAGCATGATCTCGTGAAGAGCTGTTCAAGCTGTTTGATCAATTGCACGTTTGCTTGTTACAAGCCCTAGGAATTTAGTCAACTTGCACTTTTACTTCTGATCACATACACGGCCATCAAGAGAGAACACCTAGAGGAATATCATCATTTCACGTGAAAGGAAAAGCATTTTGGGCTTATTTTGCTTGCTGGTGGAATTTGATTTCATACTATGAATACAAGTATAATTCTAATGCTCAGAGCAAGAATTCTAAGAGTGACGTTTCTGTATTTTTCTCTTCTTCTCTCCTGTGTTTGAGCTATGATCTAGGGATCTCATGATTTTAGAGAGTTTGTATTGTACTTTGAAGATGCCAGATCATGTTACATTTTAAGGATTTCATACGACTTAGCTCTTGTATTTCCAAAAGTATGATTTAAGTAGGCCTCAGTTCTTGTATTTCTTGAAGATACAACTCATATATTCTCTTATGACAGAGTAGTTGTTTGACCTTCAAGGCAGTCATTAGAAATTATAGATATTGAATCACAAAATGAAGATATAGACGCATATTATGGTACTCTAGCCTCAAATGGAGGTGTTGAATTCCAAGGCCGTTTCTCCTATGAGTCTTATCTACCTTTGAAACTTTGACCACCAATTCGATCGTTGAGACTTGGTATTAGGTACATAACCAGTAGAACAACCGGTGTGCTTGATAGTACTGGAACATCTCAGCTGTAGATAATAAATGAGGACATTTGAATTTGGTTCTTTGATATTGGTCTAATAGGGATTTTCATTTGTTTAGAAGCCTTTTTCTCATTCTTGAATATCTATCCCGTACAACGTACAACAGATACATCTTGCTGGTTTTTTAAGGAGATAGGATGAGCATATGAAGAGGTTCATAGTTTTACATAGTGAAAATAAATCAAGAGTTCATTTGTTTGCAGAAGTAGCCTATCCACAAGAAACTATGTTATCCAAACTCTAATGATCGAGACTGGACACATCTGAAAGATAGTCTTAGGCATCATGTATCAACTTGAGAATCTCTACACTCATTTGGCTGAGCTTTTTACAAGATATATTCTACAAAACTTGGGCTAATTGCAAAAAACTTGGGCTAATTGCAATATTAAAATTATCTAAGAATTATTTAAATCTTTTAAATTATTTAGATATGAGTTAACTGATTAAACTGAATCAATGTGAGTTGATTTTGCCCTGCAATAGAAACATCATCTCTCTTGTATCAAACCCTTGTAACTGTTCAAAGGATGTAATTTCATAATGGTAACACTATGTTCAAATTTGGTCAAGTCTAAGCCAAGCTTGTGCCATGGTAAGATACAAGATGGCGGCCATTAAATCTGAGGAAGCAAGATATGACATATTAAAAAACGATGGGCTTGGTGATTATTTTCGGTGAAGAAAGAAATGAAAGTCAACTTGAAACCTATGGGTCTAGTCAAGACGTTCAGGCAAAAACCATCCAACTATTACGATGACGACTGAATAGACATACAAAAACAACATGTGAGTATTGTCATATTTCATTTGCAAACTTTGATTCTAAAACAAATGGATAAGTGTGGTAACCCACTTTTTGTATTTATGCGGAATTTAAAACATTTTTGGAAAACAGTACCGCAGCAAAAGTGTAAATAGTGATCGGTACATTTAAATAGAGTGAAAATGGATGATCTTGTAGAATCCTCGAGAATCATCGAGTTGGGCGCAATGTCCGGAACAAGCGCCCGCCCTGAACGATCGACTCTGAAGGAGTTCTCCTTCGGCGCAAGGCGCATAATCCGCCTTCGGCGGTACGCCTTTGGCGCTAGAGGAATCCCTCATAACTTTCTCAATTCACAACGCCTTGACTTGATTAGAGTCTTGTTGGAAAGAACTCAACACGCTCGTTCTAACGAGCCCAAGAACGCCCGGAAAGGATAAGTACTCAGGGAGTTGTGACGGTCGAAAGATACAAAGACTTTCGCCTACGCACAGGCGAAATGGGTTTGACGTCGGCGGGAAGTCAGCCGAGAATTTCGCCTACGCGGAAGGAATGCCGCCTACGCATAGGCGGAAGGAATGCCGCCTACGCATAGGCGGAAGGACTTTCACCTACGCATAGGCGGACGGATTTTGCCTGCGCATAGGCACTTCGCCTTCGGCGGGAAATCCGCCTTCGGGGGTGGAGCTCCTACGGCGCCTACGGCGCCAGCGCATCAAGGTTAGGTAAGGACCCAACTTTGCTTTTCAAGACCGGCTAGTTGCGAGGAAATTCAATTTCTTGCTGTGGAGATGAAATTACGTGTGCGGAGACATGGTGCGCGAATGGCTGAGTGAGAGACAGCAACCTACGCGCGGTTTCCGTCCGCACGTAGATCGTTGGATTGTCCACGATTGGGGACAAGTATTGGGAAGGTGTGCAGGCGAGGACGGGTTCCTCCTATTCGACAGTGAGAGCGTCAAGGTGTCGAAGGCGAAAGAAGCCTTCTTTGTGGAATTGTTCAAGCGGGAGAAGTCCACCAAGAACGGGTAGAGGACCCGTGACTACAAAAATCGTTTCCGCAGAACCGTAGCGATGGCACTGCTGCAACTCTTGTAGCCGCACCGCACCACTTACATCACTTATTGGCAAGTGTCCTTCGTGGAGCTCACATTGGCCGGAGCTCCAGTTCACAGGTCGCGTATCATGCATAGGGTAATGCGACAGCATGCGTTCGAGGAGCGGGGAGGAACGCTCAATCACCTCTCCCCCTTCTTGATAAACTTTTATCGGTCGATGGGTTGCTTAACCGCGACCGAACGTATTCAATTTCCGCCATTGTCAGTCGACAATCCCGGGAGGTATGTGTGGGATAACGAAGTCGACACCGACGCGGAGGACTCTCCGACTTCCACTCCACCGGGTCAACAGGATGCGGGGAGGGTAGCAACACGAGTGCCGCGGAAGCAAAGATGGAGAGAGGAACCGGAGAAAGAGCAACATCAAGAATCAGCTGCTCTCACCCGGAAGCGGCCACTACACGAGATCTGCAGTCGGCCGAAGCAGAAGGCGCGCCGGCTTGTGTTACTTGCCAGCAGCGCGGAAACGGCGCGGGCCGCCGGAGAGAAGAGGAGTCCATCCTCGGAGAAGGATGGGACTGCGCGGACGGCAGAGGGGTCAGCGGATCTCCCTACGCCCTCGGCGGAAGTGAGACGATCTTCGGGTCAGGACCAACAACGTGCGGCACGGATGAGTGTGCCGCCTACGCATATGCGACTCCCTGCGGACGGGAGACTCCATGTGGATAGGCGACTCCTTGCGGACGGAGACTCGCCTACGCATAGGCAAGACTCACCCCCG